AAAGAATCTTTGAATTTTTAAACATAGGTAAAGCAAAAAATCTTGTTCAAATGTGGAAATCAATTGATAAAGAAAATACACCACCCTCTGAACGACGTGGATTACGTGCTTTTACACCACCAACTGATAATGAACGGCGTATGCCACCTCCTGATGATGTAAACTAAACTAATTTAAACCAATCTTAATATAGTTGTATGCTTTTTTTTTAGGAAGAAATTAATTCTCAAAAGATAAATTATACAGAGGATAAAACAAATATTGAAGCGGGTTATACAAAAGCTGCTCGTGAAAGGTATATGTTTATTTTTATATATGTTTATATTATATTATATTGCATGTTATACTGTAGTGAAGAAAAGCATGTTGGAATTGAGAATCTTATTTCTATTGCTCGTGCTTTACGGAATACAAATAATGAGTAGGCTATTGCTTATAAATGAATTCTTGCTATTGCTTTGTCCTTGCATTTTTGTTGAATATAATTAATGAAAAAATCTTTTTTTATTGTTTCAGACTTTTACAAACTGCTGAACAGAATAATACGATAAGTAAAAGAAAAACACTTAAACAATTTACGCCACCACCAGAATCACCAAATAATGGTCGAAGGTAAATTAAATTCAATAATAAAATACTTGTGTTTCATTGAATAAGAAATATTCATTCAATTTTAGAAAATCAATAACTCCACCAAATGATAATCTTAGTATGACAGAACACTATACAAATAATGAAGAAATTGTATCAATAAAAGGGCAGACTAAATCATTGAAAAATCGTTTTGTTGAACTTGAACAAGATGCACTTAAAGTTGAAACAGCTTCATCAAAAATTAAATATGTACCAAAACGTTTTGTGGTATGTTTTTCAAGGTTAAAATAACCTTTCTTGTTCTTTTTTGAGAGAATTTAAATCTATAGAGAGCAGTACATCATCTACGAGTTTCGTAAAAAAATATTAAGATTAACAATTTTTCGAAACTCTTACATTCAGTCATATTAAATTGTATATATACGGTAAAATCGTACATAGTGCCTTAGAAAATCTTTTTATATTTCATATTATATTCTCTCAATAAATATCGCAACAGTTTAGTAATATTTTATATAGATAAATATAGATAATAATCTGTACAGGAGGCTGTTTTCAAACATTATGCACGCGTTATTTATAAGACGAGTGTATCTAATCAATTTTCATTCACACGAGCTGTGTAACATGTTTTATAAACATGTCTAAAAGCATTGCCGAAAGAGTGTTAATTTATGTCTGTTATTCCTTGTATTAAAGAATAAATATACATGAGATGTTTATTTATATAAGATAAAAATAAATAAAATTCAAGAATTATTATGGAATGAAATTAGTTAATAGCGAATGAATAATCAGAAAAATTCTTATGCGTTATTTAGATATCCAAATTTCAAGGAGTTTCGTGAGATAACTTAATACCTGAGAGAGAGAGAATCTTTAACGAGTTTAAGAATTAACATAAATTATATTTGTACTAAGAGAACTAATGAATGAGATCTAAGATATTACTTTTGATATATATATATTATATATTACGAAAATCAACTTCAATTTTAAACGGTACTATATATTAGAAACTTTTAAGAAATAAACAATCTTATGACCAGTCTCTAACATTATCTAGTGAAATCTAAATAGATTCTCGCCACATAATGCAGTGATTCAATCAAAATCATTTCATCTAAGCAGTATTTATCTCTTCATTGTTTATTTTAGAATACACCTGCACCTAAACAAAATAATAGTGAACCAATGGTTGATTCAACGAAATGTTCAGCATGTAATAAAACAGTTTATGCTATGGAAAAGGTAGAAAATTCAATATTCATGTAGTTTTCTAATAAAAAAAGATTTGTTCTTTGTAGATCGAAGCTGATAAAAAAGTTTATCATAAATCTTGTTTTAAATGTATGCATTGTAAAGCTATATTAAAGTACGTATTAAAACAGAATCATCTACATTTGTTGTATTATTTTAGAAAAAAAAAACTAAAATTTCAATATGTCAATAATTAATCGTAGGCTTTTATTCTTTTTCTTCATTCCTTTTGCTGTGTGACTGAAGAGCATGTTATATTTTGGAAACTCTTTTTGGAATGTTAATAAATTTAATTATACAATTATTATTTTTGAATTATTTCTTTTTAGACTTGGTAACTATACAGCAAACGATGGACAAATTTATTGTAAACCTCATTTTCTTCAATTATTTGCTATAAAAGGTAATTATTCAGCGGGTTTTGGTCTTGATGATCACAAGACACGATGGTTGCCATTAAATTCTCAAGAATCAACATCATTTAATGAAAATTAAATCCACTTTTTTTTCCTTCTGCTACTTCGTTTGTGATTTTTCTTTCGCTTAATGACTACAAGCAAATAGCAACCTATTCGTGTTCCTTGAAATCTGGTTTTTTTTTGTTGTATATTCAATTTGTGTCTAAATGATTGCAAAATTATACATATATATTATTCATAATCTTGCGTGTGCTAATGTCTGATGTTTGTTGTCTTGTAATAAAACTAAAATAATTATTGCTATTGATATATTCTATTAACATTTATTGAAAACAACGGTATAGAATACAATAATTAGAATATGAAGTCAAAGTTCAAAGAGGTCTATTCTATGCATGCCATACATTTTTCTCAACCTGACCTGCTTGTTGTTATCAGATATTATTCTACATATAAATATTAGGATAATTTTTAAACAAAAACTGAACGATGTCTTTATAATATATATAGAAATCTAGATAATCAAAATTAGATGTCTACAAGCCACATTCATTAGCTTAATTCGCTACTCATTTTAAGAAAATAAATATATAAAAGTATTAAAAGTTGGAAGTATGCACTAGTGCTGAAGACCAGTTTGTAAGAGTGGACGTTTTACGAGAACAGAAATATGGAACAAGTTATAGCCAGCATCCATGAACAATTTATATAGAAAATAGCAATGGGCGACCAAAATTAGTGAATCTCAATTTAGCTAAATAGATAAATAAATTATATCGATCAATGAATGACGTACATTATAGTCAGAATTATGTTCAATCAGACTGATAATGAGTAATGTGCGATACTCGAGCATCAGGAATATTTATTCGATAGATCTTTTTATAACTGTATTTTCTTGGTAAAAATGAACATTTTCATTGAAGCGTTTACAATCAGACAGACTGGACGGCCTTTTCGGGCCTCTAATATGAATGATTTCTTCTTTCTATGTTCAAAGTTATCTAGACCGAATTATATACATATTATGCACGTGTGCATAAAGAGATAATATGCAAATCAAACATAGATGAATCTTTATAGAAACGAAAAAATAAAGTATAAATTTAAGTAATGTATAGTTCATTCATAGAATATATAGATAATAATGACCAGCAGAATATGAAATCAAAACAGACAGAATTTTTAATTACTGAACACGGTGTTCTCTGATTAGCACACTCTACTTATCTTATTGTCTCGTTTTTTGCATCAAGTAACTGTAACGATAAGATCTGTATCTGTAAAAATTTACTATTTGTTTAACGTTACATGTAATGGAAAATTAGCCAATATATTATGAACTTCATAGCAACTTTCGTAATAGTTAGTAAACAATGCATGCCACATAAACTTAGGAATGAACACACCTTTGTATCATTTAAAGTATTTTTTGTCCGTTGGAAAATTTTCAATCATCGATGTAAAAAAACGTACGGTTTATTCCAAACCAAAAAATTTTAATTTATTCAGAAAAGTGTAATTAAACCGTCAGTCACCTTATTTATATCTTCTAATGATTTTGAAGGTGTTAGCACAAGCATGACCAAGAGTTGAAAACTATTATATCCGGTTCACCATCACACTTATATTTATATAACGATTATAATGATATCGCAATCATCAATAGTGTTCTGCTATTGCTTTTCATGAAAAACTCAACGTACGACAATAAATTTTATTCTGATTTATTTTCATTTTCTCCCGGGTTAGTATTTTGCTTTAGTTGTCTGTAATAATTATTCTGGGAACGTTTATTTATTAGATTTTAGTGAAAATATAAATGTCAATGATATACTGGTTCACTTGTATTGGATTGTCAACTTTGGTCACACACGGAATAAATGACAAGATGATGCGTTTTATCTGATTCTGTGCGGTAACATATAAATTAAATATTAAATATCCAAAGTGATTACTCACACAAATAACAGTTTTATTTCAATAATGTTGAAAAATATTTATATGAAACTTCGTGACAAAGAAATAATGTATAACTTACTCATTTACAGGAAAACACGTCTGTGTGGCAACAAATTTGCAATGTGCATGATATTTACTATGTCATTAGTTGGATATGCGCAACTAAATCTTCTGGAACGCAACTGAAATCAAAAGTTAGTGTCTTGCTACTGCATTCAACAGTTTCTCTATTTTTCTAATATGGACTTTATTATAGTTTATTTCTTTTATTCGGCTCAATGTGATAGATATAATTCGATGGTTTAATATCAATAAACGTCTATCAAAGAAACCAATATGGTATTAAGCTATTAGTAATAATTAGACTCCATGCTAATGATGATTCAATAATCGATATATGTAAATCTTATCAATTTATGAACGCAATTTAAGCGAAAAGCGTAGAAAGATTTAAGTTGCCATCTATGGTTCTTTTTTGTTTTTTCCGTGAATTTTTTTGTCAAACAGTCGGTATCAAGTAAAATATGTAAGAAAACTCATTATATTAAGTATATTCACATAAGCCTTTGGTTCTTATTTAAACAAATACATGATACATGAATTTAAATGACATTTATGCGTAGATGTGTCTTGTAATAATTAAACTTCATCATATCAACTTCCTATTTCTCTTTAGAATAAATCAACTAATTCTAAGCAATATTTTGAAGGCAACTGAAATTTGTATTGAATACTGCGATATCTCTCATCATTTCGAAATATTCTATAGGTTTTTAAGTAAGAAGAGTATAGTTCGCCATCATTCAGAACAATTAATCAGAATCGTTTCGATTTTTTTAGACTGGGTCAGATTGGTCGGTTCAGACTCTCGTCTTTAGCAGTATAAAAACAATGCATTTCATGTATTAACATTATGAGTAAACGAAAATTTCTCTCAAAAGGTTTTGACTAGGAACTAACAGACACATATCTCTTCACCATTTAAAATCATGGTAACCGGTAAAAATGAGCAAAATAACAAGTTTTTATGTGATCGAAAATTTTTAAAAATTAAAAGAAGACCGGTCGGACTAGTTTCAAGTATAAGTCAATCAATACTTATAACAAATCAGTCTTGATAAATGATCATTTCGTACATTTTACCATAGTATATATTTCATAAAGAAATATACTACGATTGTTTATGTGTGCCATCTATCTATTAAGATTAGATTGCTTGATTCTTTTTAACGAATAATGACTCACGATACCCTTGCTTGCTCTCTTGGTAATTTATGATTTAGTTAGTTTTTAGACAAACTTTTATTTGATTTTGTTCAAAATGGCTACACGTCGTACTAGAAAATGGCTTAATGTTAAAGAACGTAAATCAAAATTTGCTGTTCGTCAAACAACACGTTCAGAAATCTTACATGTTGAAGAAGAAGGGTAAAATTATAAATAAAAAATAAAAACGAAATTGTTTTTGTACCGAATTTAATTCTTATTTTTAGTTATATTGCTCCAGATGCAGATGATAATGAAGAAGAAGAAGAACGTGTAGTTGATTTAACTCAAGCAGATATTAAATCATCCGTCGATCTATTCAGTGCGCAAAAACGTTTTGATCTTGAACTTCCATTATATGGTTCTTATCATATTGATTATACACGAAATGGACGGTTAGTATTTGATAGAATATTAAAGTACTGAATATTTGTTTTTTTTTATTTCTAGACATTTATTATTAGGTGGTCGAAAAGGTCATATAGCTGCATTTGATTGGCAAACAAAAAAATTACATTGTGAAATGAATGTTATGGAACAAGTCAACGACGTAAAGTAAGATATTTAAATAAATAATTTCAAATATTAATATTATTCTTGTAGATGGTTACATATTGAAACAATGTATGCTGTTGCACAACGACAATGGACTTATATTTATGATAATCAAGGTATTGAAGTTCATTGTCTTAAAGTACTTGATCGTTCATTACATTTGGAATTTCTTCCTTACCATTTCTTACTTGCTGCTACAGTAAATAATAATTTACTTATAAACAAATTCATACAAATTTTCTTTTAGAATGAAGCAGGATATTTATCATATATAGATGTATCTATTGGAAAAAAAGTTGCTTCCTATAATACAAGAATAGCTAATGGTAATGGTAAATGTGGTACATCAATTATGTGTCAAAATCCTTCGAATGCACTTATTGGTCTTGGTCATGCTGGTGGTGTTCTAACATTTTGGTCACCAAATCAACGTGAACCATTAGTTAAAATGCTTGCACATAAATCAACAATACGATCAGTAACAATTGATCAAACAGGAACGTACGAAAAAAATTTATTTCGTTTTTCTTTGAAAAACTTTTCTTCTTTAGTTATATGGCAACAAGTGGTGTCGATGCAAAATTGAAAATTTGGGATTTAAGAAATTATCAATGTTTAAAAGAATATCGTACATCATCAAATGGTGCATCAACATTAGCTTTTAGTCAGAAAAAACTTTTAGCAGCAAGTTATAGAGATGTTGTAGAGGTAATCATCTTATCTGCTATGAGCTACATATTTTTTAAACATAATTTCTGACTTTCTCATTAGGATTGAGATAGATACACTGATTAGAAATATTATAATAGTTCTCGTGCTTCTAAATCTTACATTGAGTCGATAATATTTATTATTATAGATGGAAAAACGTAGTAATTCATCAGAATCTGAACTAATTCTAAGGTTTTTCAATTGTCTGTAATAAATTCAAATAGTATGAATCTCTAACAGCTCAAAATATATTGATACTCAACAAAAATACAACAACCTATATTCATTTCTCTTTACATTTTTAAACAATAATCAATATTTTCTATATTTCTATAGATTTACAAGGATCTGTATGATGAAGAATCTACATCAAATGAATTACCTCGTTATCTACTTCATCGATGTCCAAATGGTTCATCTGCTTCATCAGTAGCTTTTTGTCCTTATGAAGATGTGTTAGGTGTTGGACATGATCGTGGATTTATTTCATTACTTGTTCCTGGTGCTGGTGAACCAAATTTTGATGCATTAGAAGCAAATCCATATCAAACTAAGAAACAACGAAAACAAGCTGAAGTTAAACAATTACTCGATAAAGTAAAATAATCCGTTATTTTTTCTTTACAATAAGTTCTCTTTTTGTTTTATTTTATTAAATTTAGATTCAACCAGATATGATTACTTTGGATAATTCAGTATTAGGTGAAGTTGATCGAAAAGCATTTGTTCGAAAACAAGAAGAAAAAAGAAATAATTATAATTTTGTTAAACCAAAAGAATTAATTGTTCAAGCTGATAAGAAAAAAGGAAAAATTGGTAAAAGACTTGCACGTAAAACTCAAATACGTGATGCAAAACTTAAAGAATATCTTCAACAACAAAAATTAAAACGTAAAAAAACCAAAAACTAATATATTTTTTTGTTTTCTGTTATTTGTTTTGAATAAATATTAAACAACACAGTTATATTGTTTGGTTAAATAAAACAAATTCATTTCTCGTATTTTTTTCTGTATTTGTTGCAGACAATGATTGATTGGAATTGGCTTTGGGTTATTGGTGAACTTGGTATATCTTACGGATTTTATAGATGGTGGAAAGCTGATGATAAATTTTTGGCTGTTCTTGAGGTAGAAATATCTTCATTCAAACTTCAAACAGATGATTTATTAATATTATATATATAGAAACAAATTTAATTTTTAACATATGAAAAGTATTGTAGAGATAAAGATACCTTTTCTACACTTTTTCTGGCAGAGATAGAATTATTCCATGTGATAAGGTTGCATGAGAATTCATCATTCGTACGGTTATATTAAATATTCGCCTTTCAAGTGATTTAATCAATCAATGTTAGCTTTTTTTGGTTAATCATCAGTTCTATTCGCATAATTCTTTCAGATTAATAAATTAAAACCGAAAGTTTAGCATGACCTACATTTATATTATCGTATAAATATTTTATTTAATACATGATATTACTTTTTCATGAACTGAAAATGTAATATTAGAAACCATAAATTTAAATTATTGATAATTTACTGAATTACTAAAATGTTTTAGGTAGCACCTGATATTGATATAAATGATTTAAAACATTTTTCAAAATTGAATACATCTGTTGATTATGCAGTTGTACATGGATTAGTTCGAGCAAATGATACAAAATCAAATTCAGTATTACAATCTCAATTTCTTCCACATTGTTTAGGTGTTATTCAACGTTTAACCATACGTGAAAAAAAACTTGAAAAATTTCGTAGTATTTGGTAAAATTTAAAATTAAAATTCATCAAAATAAAATCTGTTCTTCTCTAACAAAGGGCTGAAACAAATAAAACAATTAGTGAAGTAACACGTTATGTACCATTTCGACTTGTTTCACAAACAGGAAATTATGTTCGTGTTGATAAACCATTAGCATTCAATTCAATTGAAGATCATTTAGATGTAACTCATCTTAAATTTGAACCTAATTCAAGTTCTTCTATTCAAAAAATTGTTGATACATTTCTTGGAGATTTATCAACAGGTAACAAAAACGAAACAAAGGATCTTATCTGTTTTTAATTAATAAAATAATTATTTTTGACTAGGAATTGAAACACAAGAACAAATGTTATTGTTTGATACACCATTAACTGCTGTTGGTCATCTTGAAAAACAATCTAATGGCGTATGGTGTCTTGTTCCACATGAACAATGGGGTGGAATACTAACACGATCATCTCGTTCTGAAATTATTGCAGAATATCGTGATAGTTCTTCTATAGCACGAATTCTAAGTATATGTTTTGGTATTGCTGCTATTGGTACAACTACTTATTTATTATATAAATATTATCGCTATCAACAACGACGACGACCAAGAACAAATCGATTACCTGACACTTTACCTCAAAATCATACCCATGAAATCGATCATAATAATACGAATACTCGACTTCGATGTATTATTTGTTTAGAAAATGAAATTATCTATAGTCTTCAACCATGTTCACACTTAGGTTTATGTCATTCATGTGCACAAACATTACAATCAAGAAGTCGTGGAGAAGAACTATGTCCACTCTGCCGAACGCCTATTGAAGAATATCAACGTGTTTTTTTACCCTAGAATTGATTTCTTTTTCTACATATCAGTGTGTTTTTTTTATAATACGTGTTCACCTAGGTATATATGTTTCTTTTTTTTTGTTTACAAAATATAATCATGTGTTTATATATTTATATGAGATATAAACTGGTTTGTATTTATTTAAACGAGATGATAAACATTGTTGAATTTAATGGATGTATGATTAATAAATAAAAGTATTTTGATTTGAAATGTGCAAAGAAAATGATACATTCTTTTTTTTTAAATAATGTTTTGTCATACATCAGTTTATCTCTTCTTGGTTTTAATGCTCGATAATGATGAAGATAACAACTTTCAGTGATAAAGAAAAACGCTAGTATGGTGACCTGTGAACCATTTATTTACCAAAAGAATTAAAATATAGCTACAAGCGCGAGGACCACATTGGTTTATTCGTACTTTTCTTTTTCGTTCTTCTTCTCTTTGTATTGATATAAATAGAAATAGACAAATGTAACTTCGTTTGCATTTGACTATTTGCATTGAAGGTTGTAAACGAGCTTTTTGACTATGGCTCCTCTTCAACTACCAACTGTTGTGTACGTAAAAAATGAAAATAATTATCTAAAATTTTATTGATCTTTTTTTTCTCTAGTGATGTTAATTTAGTGAAAAATCTTTCATCATTAACAGATTATGATGCTTTGGTTGTCGTTACTACATGTTTAGATGAAACTACAGAATTTCTTGATAATTCAGTAGCCAAAGGTCTTGAATCATTCAGACAAGTAAAAATAAAATATAAAAATATTTTTCTTTTAAAAAAATATAATATCAATTTTAGTTACATACTGATTTTAATAATGATGTTACATTTTTTCTCAATGATAACGCTCCAGGCAAACGCATCGTAAGATATATACTTGAAAAAAAAAGAGAAAAGAATTAAATAAATATTTGCTATCTAGATATATTCACCAACAGGTGCAGTTGATCGAGATCATGATGATGTACGTCGATTTTCTGATGCTGCATTAGCCGGTGTGAAAAAAGCATTAGGAGTTGGTTCAAGATCTCCTGTTCTTGCATGTTTTGGTTCAAAAACTTACCGACAAGCAAATCTTGTTACATTACTTGCAGCACTTGAAGCAACATATGTGGTAAGAGGAATAAAGAAGAAAATTTCATTATGATAAAGAATTTTTTTTTATAGCCATTACAAATTCGAGAAGATGTTCCTGAACGTAGAACTAAAGCTGATAAATTAGGTTTCTTTATTGGTCAAAAACCAGCCGATGATGGTTGTGGTCAAAAATTAATTGATTATGCACGAGCTGTTGAATTGGGACGTGCTGTTGGCCGAGATATTGGTGGAGCTGATCCAGAACGTATGGCACCGCCACGTGTTGCTGAATATGTTCAAGAATTATTTGGCAAATCATCTGGTATTAAAGTAAATAATCAAGTTTTTTTTCCATATAACTTTACTTAATAAATATATTTGATTATTTTAGGTAGATATTATCAAAGATAAGAAAGAATTTGAAAAAGACTTTCCATTATTTGCTGCTGTTAATCGAGCTTCAACTTGTAAGTTATAAAAAAAACATATTTAAATATTAAGTACTGAATTAAGTATCCTTTAGGTGTTGATCGTCATCATGGTCGTTTGATCTTTCTTGAATATAAAGGTGAAGGTGAAATCAATACAACTGCATTACTTGTTGGTAAAGGTATTACGTTCGATACCGGTGGTCTTGATATTAAAGGTATATGAAATTGATATTTTATAATTAAATCCTATATTATTTTTTTTAATTTTTTGTATAGCCGGTGGTATTATGGTAAGATTAAATTGTTTTTTTAGTCTTTAATAAAATTTTAATCTTTGATTTCTTAGGCTGGTATGTCATATGACAAATGTGGTGCTGCTAATGTGACTGGTTTTTTTAAAGTTCTTTCTGAATTAAAACCAAAACAATTTAAAGCTATTGGTGTTTTAGCTGTAGCACGTAATAATTGCGGTGAAGAAGGATACACTGCAGATGAAATTATAACATCACGAGGTGGTGTACGTGTTCGAGTTGGAAATACTGATGCTGAAGGTAAATTATTAAGAAAAGATACTTTTAATTATCATTACGCTCTCTATTTATATCGATTTAAGGTCGCATGGTTATGGCTGATCCTTTATGTTATATTAAAGAATTAGCATTGAAAGAAGTTAATCCACATTTATTTACTATGGCTACGCTTACCGGACATGTTATTCGAGCTTATGGAACAAATTATACAGTAATTTTATTCTTAATAACATGAAAAATAAAGAATTTATTTTCAATTTTAGGCAGCTCTTGATAATGGTCCAGCACGAGATAATGAAACAGCACACAAACTTCAAGCAGCTGGTGATGAAGTTGGAGATCCTTTTGAAATTTCAACTGTCCGACGAGAGGTTTGTTTTATTATTTGATTCATCTTTTATCTTATTTTTTATTTATTAAGGATTTTGCATTTATTGCTGATCAAGGTGAAGTTGCTGATGTACTTCAATGCAATAATCAAGGTAGTAGTGCAACAGCTCGTGGTCATCAATTTCCAGCAGCATTTCTTGCTCGTGTATCCGGTTTAGATAAACATGGTCGTAATTCAGAAAAACCATTACGTTATACACATCTTGATATTGCTGGTAGTGGTGGTGAATTACCTCATTCACCAACTGGTCGACCAATTCCAGCACTTTGTCAAATGTTCATTGCTGATCGAGTTTTTTAATTTTATAGAACATTTTTCTTCATCTTATTATTTTACCTGATTTCATAAATATATAACAGTTTGATCTTTTCTAATTACACAATTATGAAAATATTTGTTTATTTGATATAGATTTTAAGAACATTAGCTCGAAGGAATGACAGACTATATATTTAGTCTAATATTGAATAATAAGAACTTGCCTAAAGATATAATTTACCGAATGTTACTTCCGTTTATGAAAAAATGATATTCTCTTACCGGATTTATATTTTAGTAATTGTTCTTAAGTTTTTCTATTATGAAATTTCAATTAAAAAGAAATAAATTTTTAAAAATAGTATATAGAAAAAACTCTTTTCACTTATAGTTAAGTGATAATTTGAATAATTTACTGCTCTATTATCTTTATTATTAGTATTTAAATGACATATTACATTAATCATTTTACAGATCAAAAGCACAATCGGTTATCTCATTTGAGAAGTTAACTAAGTATATTTTGCATTATAGAAATAAGAGTATCAAATAAAAACTAATTGGATATGTTAATGTTGATAAATTGGAAGCTATTTTCTACTCAAGTATACAGACTCATTTTTAATGGCAATCTTGAAAGTTTTATTTTTAGTAGAAAGAAAAGAAAAAGATTTTAATAAAAGATAAGAGTAGCAGCGGCAAAAAAAAGTAATTTATTTTCAAGTCTTGTGATTTTCTATCAACACATGACAATCATTTTTATGATTATCTTCATCTTTTTATATCTAACTTAATGACCTGTAGTCTGTTTGAATATGAACTATTATCTAATTGCATGACAATAAAGATATAGTTATTCATTATATGAATAAAGCTAATAATCTTTGACTAGAATTAATTAATGTTTTTTCTGAAAATAATCATGTTCTGTGTTTAAGTAAGTCATAATTTATTTATACCAAATCCTCTTGTCTCAAAATGATGATCTATATCGTATACGCATAATCTAAATGTACTATCAACATATACAATATCATCGAGTGACATCTATCGTTTTCTTTACTTTGACATGTTAATACTATAGTCCAATATAATGAAAGTACTACATTCTATTTTATATACAACTCAATGCTAGTAGCGCATCTGTTCAAAAAATAGTTTCCTGCTGTTACATACACGTATCTATCGTTTTCTTTTCATTCTTCCGGGAAGCCGAAGTGTGTTAGTACATCCTCTCGTTTTTTTTTTATTCTCGTTCTTTCTCTCGTTATACACAGATTGCAATCAATCTTGTGTTCATTTATATACACTATTCTGTTCGTTACTTGCTTTATCTTGTGAAAAAAAAAGACAACAAAACATATACGAAGACAGGTCATGACCGAATATAAGCTCGTCGTCGTCGGTGGTAAATTTATTTAATAAATAATAAAAATAAATAAGTTATTTATTTATTGTTGTTTTTGTTTTTTTTCTTCTATAATAAAAGCTGGCGGCGTGGGCAAAAGTGCGTTGACAATTCAATTGATTCAAAATCAGTATGTTCATTTTAATATTAGAAGAAATATATATATATATATTCTATTTTTATAGTTTTATTGATGAATATGATCCAACAATTGGTAGCAAAATTTATTTATATTTTATTTCATTTTATTTTTATATTGTATTTAGAGGATTCATATCGAAAACAAGCTGTTGTTGATGGTGAAACATGTTTACTTGATATTCTCGTATGTAAAAATAGATATTTTTGACATAAATTTATTTATCTATTTATATTTGTAGGATACAGCTGGTCAAGAAGAATATAGGTTTGATTACGCAATAGAAAAAAAGTATTTATAATTTTGTTCAATTTTATTAGTGCTATGCGTGATCAATATATGCGTGGAGGTGAAGGTTTTCTATGTGTATTCGCCGTTAATAGTGCAAAATCATTCGAAGAAATAAAACAATATCGTGAACAGGTGAAAATTTATATTTTATTATTTATAAATAAGGGAACGTTTAACTCAAAATAGGAATCATTTAGATATATTTTTAGAAATTAGATCTAATCTGATATAGAAATTTACATTTGAAACAATCAATATAACGAATAGTAATTGTTATGTATTAACAGCTTTTAACGCATCAATAATTGAGCTAAAACATGATTTGCTTTTCTTTTTAACGAAAATATAATTCTGATTTTTTTTGATCGTATTAAAAATTATAAAATGAAATCATTTTTTTTTCGTCTATTTATTTAGATAAAACGTGTTAAAGATGCAGACGATATTCCGATGGTTTGTAAGTATACATAACGAATATTAATTTAAGTAAATTTTCAAATCAAAATTCTAGTGGTGGGAAATAAAATTGATTTACCAACACGTACAATTGATTTATCATATGCAAAAGACTTCGCATCATCATTATCTATGCCATTTGTACAAACATCAGCTAAAACTCGACAAGGTGTTGAAGAAGCATTCTATACACTTGTACGAGAAATAAGAAAATATGTAAATATAGAAACTATTTAATGTTTTAAGAAATAAAAAAGTTTTATTGTCTTATAGAAGGAACGTACACGTAAAGATCGTAAAGGTCGAAAGAATAAAAATGGTAATGGTACAAGTGGTGGTGGAAATAAATCTTCAATAAAAGATGGTCGTGGTCAAAGTGGAAAACGTAGTGGAAAACGAATGTGTATGCTGATGTAGAACTTTAATTTAAGTCACTTGGCAATATTCAATAAGTCATTTCTGCTCTTTCTCATTCATATATATATATAAAATAAAAACGTTTGTTTTTTTTTTCTTCTCTTGCTTTGCATACCCTCTTCTCCCTTCAATGTCAGATATTTGTTGTGTGTTTCCGAGAAACAAATTTCTTTGTTTTGTTTGTGGTGTTGTGCTCGATTTCGTTTATGTTTCCTAGTCAAACAAATATATATGTATTTCTTAGTTGTGATGTGGTAACACACAACTTCTTTTTATTCTCTCTCTCTCTTTTTTTGTTCCGCTTCGATGCTTTTTTAATCCTTCTTCTATTATTGTGTGTGCAGTAGTTTCTTTTTTTTTCTGTTTTTAAAAATCCGAAGAATGAATCATTTTTGTTTTTCTTTTTCTATACAAAGAAAAATTTCAATTTTAATTTTGTTTTAGATATATATCTATATCTTCTACGTGAATGTAAATACGATAAATATTCTAGTAATTGTCAATATGGAGACAACCACAACAACAACAACAGAAACAGTTTCACCAGCAAATATTGAATTAGAAGAAAAAAAACCTAATGGATTAGCTGTAAATATTGAAAATAAACGAACGGTAAGATTTATAATTAGTTCAACTAAACATATCATTTTTGATATATCACTTGATTTATTGATAAAAAAACGTCAATTTTACCTTTTCAAAAGTATTCAATTAACTCTCCATTCTCTGTATAATTAAACATTTCTTTTGTCTTTCTTTTAGCGTTTTCGAAGTCCGATAAGGTAAGATTAATATATTGCTTATTGATAATTATATTCCAAGCTATATATATAACTTTAAAGTACATCAATATATCGTTTTAAGAGGTAAAAGTATTGTATTGATTATATATCTATTCATTAGAATTAAATCGATGCTTGTTTTTTTTCTACTCAATTCGGGTTACAGTTAATTATTCTAATAATTAATAACACATAAGTATTAGATGAATCATATGTTTATGTCTATCATTATTTTAGACATATCTTTAAATCGAGAAAAGATGATGATAAACTACCACCATATTATCGATTTCCAGAAGAAAAACAATATACTGATTTACAAGTAAATTATTGTTAATTAATCTTAAATAATAACATACAATTGAAATTTTTGTTTTTGTAGTTTAAAGAAACACCAACTAAAATACCTATTCATGCTATAGTATTGGCTATTGCTCTGTTTCTTATTGGTTCAGTGATGATAACATTAGGTGCACTGATGTTAACTGGTCGTATTGAAACACAAGTTTGTTCTTGAAATATTTCATTATAATTTAATTATTCTTTTTTGTTTTATAGTATAGCGATCGTACATGGCCGTTGATTCTTATTGGGACATTAGTTTTTCTACCTGGATTTTATCATTTACGTATTGCGTATTGGGCCTGGAAAGGTGATAAAGATTTCTCATTTGCTGATATACCAGATCTTGATTGGTCTTGAACAAATATTGATTATATTATTATGTACCATATTTTTTTCTCATTCAATTAAATATTTTTTTTTAATTGTTCGATATATTAATTTTGATTTATATTGTGAAGATAAAAAAAAACAAACCAAATAAATATTAAACAATGCTTTTTGAAAATCATATATAAACAAATTTATGAAAGATTATAAAATCGGATATGGTATATAATTGAAAGCATGATATTTCTTTTTTTCTTGTTTTGTTGGAAAATATGAATGACTTAATCAATTTTCTATCGGTTAAATGCTTCTTTTCATAATTTGAAAGTAGAATAAATCTTTTTCTTTCTATTTATGCATGATTATCATTCTCTATTTCAAATTAAGAAGAAAAAAATATATAAGAAATACATTTCTATTCTATTCTATTCTATAATTTTGCGAAATATAATCTTGAAATGTATTATGCCGTCATTCATATTACAAGGGCAGACGACTTTTCTTTTTCCTTCTGCCTAATTGCATTTTTCTCTTGGCATACGTCTAAATTCTCGATTCCTATACTCTTCTTATCAACAGAAGGAAAAAAAAGGGGTGTCGACATGTTGTTGTGCTTTCTACCCTCTTCAAATAACGTCGTAGATAAATAGCACATTTTTTTTTATCGAATACAATGCCATAAAACACATTTTTTTCTTCTTCTTTGAAACCTTTAGATTGCATTTAAAAATGTGTAAGAAAGTTGATTGTACTCAGTGTGGAAAACCAACATGGGCAGGCTGTGGTCAACATATTGAAACAGCATTAGAAGGTGTTCCTGTTGATGAACGATGTAAATGTTCAAAAGATAAAACAGAAACTTCAACATCAACTCAACCAGCCAAACAAGATTAGAATGACTATAAATAAATAAAAGTTGACATTTTAATCCGTATAATATCAATTTGTCTTTTTAATATATAAATAAATAAGTAGAGAGAATGCGTGTATTTACTGATTAACTTATTTATTATGAAAATATAAATATCTGCTATTTTTTCCTATTGAAATATGAACTATATTTTTAAACTTTTGAAAAACAAGAATAGAGTACATGGTAAAGTATTTAAAGATATTAATAATGTTCATGATATGCAGTGGTTATTAATATTCTTTTTTTCTTCTAAAGAATATAATTGACTTTTGAATTTAGCTTCATATATCTTTCTAATTATTCATCTCTATTTATAATCTATCCAAGTCATTTCCATTTTTATCATAAATTATTATTTATATATATTAAGTGTTTATAGATGAGATGTTCATTAAACAAGTATTTTCTTGTCAAAAAAATAAAAAGGATTGATTTTACGTATACGCAATTTATGATTTTCTTCGTAAATTATTAATTAATCTATAGAAATCCTATTCGATATCTAGTGACATCTATTGGTTATGTTAATCCTATCACGCGGAAATATTAGCCATACGAAATATTAGTTTTATCACTATTATCACAGCTGTTTTTTTTATGATAATCGAATTTGTCTATAATCTTCTTATTTTTATTATATTTCAAGAAAAAAAGAACGATGGGTAATATATGTTCGTGGTGTTTGAAAAATGAAGATGTTTCACATACGAATGGTCATACTGGTGATTATAACGGTATAAGTAACTCCCAACGTTCAGTATCTTTATCTGAAGACGATCCTCGAGCACCGTGAGTCATTTATTTTGACTGGTTACACCTTCTTGTGTAATAACAATTTTGTTTTTAATTTCAATAGGCTACTGAAGAAATCATCAAGCAATCATAATCACCGTCCAGTCACATCGAGTAATTCGAATTCGCAATTAAATGGTGAATCATCATCATATGCACCATTTCCTACACCATTACCTTCAATCAATGAGTCAAGAACTGATACAACAGCCAGTAAAATAATAATAATTTTTCTAAAAAATAATTAATTTAGTGTTTTTCTTCTTTTCCTAGAAGTTTCAACAAATGAAACAGCGGAATCCAAAATGGCATTTATTGTTGAAGGTATGTTATCGAAATTAATTGATGTTGGTAATGCTAGAACTGGTATTATGTCAACAAATTCAAATATAAATGGATTTAATAACCAAAATGATCATTTAAAACAAATTTTAAATAAATCATTTTCATCAGCAAAACTATCTTTATTACCAGATGTAGGCTTAAATAATCTTCCATCATTACTTTCGGGACGACCAATATCTTCTGATATATGTCATTTTGTTGCACATACAGCTGGAGAATTATCCCGATTATTAATTGAAGAAATTAAGATAATTCATAAAGAAGAACTTGTGGTAGTCTTTGAATAAGAACAGAATATTTATGTATTATTGTTATTATTTTTTAAAATGTTGATTTACTTTTCTTCATTTTTTTTTTCATACATTGATAGAATTCCTTAACAAAAAAACGAAACGCAACTGTCTTGTAATAAGTCAGCTCTTTTTTTTTCTAGATAAAACAAACAAAAAATGACAGATAAAGAAAATAACATAGAGGAAACAGTAGGTTTTTATTTATATATATTATATTTATTATTTTTGTGAATTTTCTAGAAAAAAAATGACGAAGACAAACTGGTAATATAAGAAAATAAGAGTCTTATATAATTAAAATATACTCATTTAAGACTGAATCGGATATTGAACAAGATGACAGTTTCGATAATGATGATAAAAATAGTGTTACTACAGACGATGAATTTTTTAATGAACTTATGGATGTACCATCTGAATTTGAGGATCACTTAAGTAAGATAAATATGGTGCATACATACATATATTTCTATTCGTTTTTTATTATTTAATAGTTCCTGAAGGATGTAAAGATGAAATTGTTGCTATTGAACATTTATCATTATGTCTCAATCGTCGATATAGTTCATGTCCAATATTTTTTAGTGGTACACTTCAAGATGCTTTAAAAGAAGCATTTAATTCGAAAGATGTTAAAGAAGTAAAAGAATTATTTACGATATTTGAAATAATTTTGTTTTCTTTTTATGAATTTTAGCGTCGACCACTTCTTATCTATGTGAATAATGATAAAAGTCTTTATTCAAATGTATTTTGTAAACAATTATTATGTCATGATAAAATCGTTGAGTTTTTCTTGAATAATTATGTTGTTTGGGCATGGGATGTTACATTTCAATCAAACGGAGAAATGTAAGAAGATATTTATTGATAAGGAGAGAAAACCCCTGCAGCGAAGATTATGACTCTGATATGATTAGTTATCGATCTGTAGTACGCTCGCTAGTAATATAATAATGATAATCAACTGTGTCTATTTGTAACAAAAACAAATCTTATTTTTGAATATTTTTCTATTTGATTATTATCTCAATTGGCTTCGATTAGGATGTTATCACCTCTGATTTTATAAATATAGATGAATCGACAAGATAATCAATAACTCTTGAATTTGAACTAGTTTTATAAGATTTTCGTTCTTTGATTTTTGAAAGGTTGAATGAAATGTATAAAAAGGCATTTACGGAAAAAAATATCGGCACATATTCAACTGAACAATATCCATTATTGATTGGTGTTCAACGTGATAGAACTGGTGATTATAAATTTAATTATTTCATCATGGGTTCAAATAATAGACCGGTTATGGATGAATTTCTTGGACGTTTAATACAATTTAAAGATCAATTTGAAATTAATGAAGAAGAATTTGAAAGAGCCAAAGTAAATTTTTTTCAAAATAAAACTAATTTATTGAAAAAGTAAATATTTTATTTTATAGAAACAAAAGGAAGACCTTCTTAGCATTGATCTATCTCGAATGCAAAATAAAAATTTTCATCCAAGACATAATAATGGTAATATGTTTGGACCATCAACATCAATGTTTTCCGTAATGGATCTTGATAGACATTCATCTCATTATTTACCATTGCGACGAAATCAAAATGATAATTATTTTTCAACTAATCCTAGAATTTTGAACAATATGCTCGGACAATTAAATCTGGATCCTAGTTATACGGATGATGATGAGGAGGAGGAACCAACACCAACTGTTGAACATCCATCACCAAAATTTCCTCAATAATTCATTTTACTCAATTCAAATGGTGATATATACCTGTGATATCTATAGATACTTATTTTTTACAAATAATCTAATTAGTTGTTTTGTTTTTTAAATTACTAATAAATTCCATTTTATTCTAGATTTTATTCTTTAATATGAGTAACGAATCACGTGAGCAAATATTATCTGATTTTCAAGTAAATATTAAAATTTTGAAAAAATATCTTATTCAATCTATCTTTTTATTAGGATTGTACGGGTTTAGAAAATGTAGAAGAATGTATTGCTATTCTACAACAACATGAATGGAGTTTAATGGTAAATAAATTCATTTTTTATTTTTACTTGACTATGTATATTAAATTAATAGGATGCTATTCAAGCAGTACATGAAGGAATTGGAGGTATAAATGATAATGAATCAACAGTACCAGTTCAACATACAACGAATTATAGTACGTCATCGATAGTAAACAATACAACGAATCAAAATATTAGTAATAATAAACGTCAATCAGATTCAAATGAATTTGATGATACAGATCAACCAAGAATTATTAAAACTATACCTGGAAATCAGAGAATAGCAATAGGAACACATCCTACAGCAGAAAATACATCAGGTTAGAAAATTTCCTATCTGCTATTTATAAATTGCAATGTATCTACGTAGTATGTAGATCTGAGATAATATATGTGAAATACTATACGCCACATACATATCAATTTTTCTGTTTCTATTTTCGTCATATATATATATATTAACCCCTTAACTGTTATCGACGTATATATACGTCAGAGCAAAAATTGAAGACTACAATTCCTTAACTCTGTTTTGGTTTTAACATCCTGCATTGACTGTTGTTGCTCTATTAAGCATGCCATTCTTAGGTTAGTAGTTTATTCGGAAACTGACTAGCCACGACATATAGAATGAAAACGAATAGTTTCAATAAAAAACGAACAAAATAATACGAAACAACAACAACAGAATAAGTATATGCCACATGCCTCTATATAAGTAATACGTACAAGAGGGAAGAAAAAAATATCAAAATAATATTTTCTATACATAACAATAAAACGTATATACCCTCAAATCGAACCAGCTGACAAAACTTTATCGAAATTTATTTGACGGAATCACTCACGAATCTAATCATCAATTCCTATTTAATATATTCCACATGATGGTACCCATTGACATGTTTCACTTTGTTTTCTTAAAAGTTTTTACTCGATTTAATTAATCTCATAGTTTCTCTAATGTTAATTTGTATTGATTTCTCTTTCTAGTTGGTGATTTACATTTCACAATTAACTTTCATGATCAAACAGAAAAACTAACCATATCGGATAATCAAACAGTCCGTATGTATTGTAGTTTTCTTTTTCGGTGCTCTTTAATATATTTTTATTCTAGATGAATTACGTGTAAAAATATCTGAAAAATTTTCTGTTCCACCTCATAAACAAAATTTTCTTAATTGGACAATGAAAAGTTATGATGATCGAGTATAAATTTTCTTTTTTATATTTATCTATATATAAGAATTTTGATTTTCTTAGACGAAATTAAAAGATCTTCATTTATCATTAGAAAATATAATTCATCTTTCATCTATAGAAAATGGATCTACCGAGTAAAGAATTATTTTTGTTTCATTCAAATAAATATATTTATCATATAGTTTTAGTCAAATTTTTAAACATACAACTTCATCATCTCAAGGTTCAAGTGAATTTCCATTAACGGTGCTATGTGAAGATAAATCAGGCCAAATGATACCATATAAACTTGTTTTGAAATCGAATACAACTATAAATGAAGTTTGTTTTTAATTTAATATTAAGAAAACAAAAATAATATTTTGTTTCTTATTTAGATTAAAAAGCAGATTGAAACTTTAGCTCATATACCAATAAAACAGCAAACTTGGCAAGGTTTATTAGGTGCAAATGATACGGTAATATCCTAGTCGAATAAATTATATTATTATTATTTTCTTGTATTTCAGGATGAATTACATCAAACAGCAATTACACCTCAGGGACGATTAATTGTTCATCATTCAGATACATCATTGAATCAACAGATACCCACAATAAGACGAGATATAAAAGTAAAACAAAATGAAATTATTTGATTTTAATTATTATTTAATTCTATAAATAGCAAGTAATAATAAGTACAGATCCAAATGAAGATGAAGAAATGGATATTGAGCATGATAATGGTTTAGAAACAATCGAAGATGATGATATTACTATTTTATCACATAATAATTCTGCAACAACAATATCTACAGAAGGAATTTCAGGTCGAACACCACTTAGTAAGTTTTAAATCGAAAAAATCTAATCTAAAATATATTATAATACATTTTATAGTTCCTGATGATTGTACAGATGATACAGCTGCTCTTGAACATTTCGCACATATTTTTCATACACGTTATGGTTCAACTGGTCCAATTCTTTATATTGGTTCATTAGATCAAGCAATACAAGATTCACTCTATTCATCTATACATACTGTAAATATTTCAGTAGAAAAGAAGAAAATGAATTCATAATTTCTATTACTATAGAGACGTCCATTAGCTATTTATCTTCATAATGATCAATCTGTTTGTGCAAATGTATTTTGTTCTCAAGTGTTAACTACAGATTCTATTATTGAATATTTAGCAAATAATTATGTTCTTTGGGCATGGGATGTTACATCTGATGCAAATCGAACAAAGTATTTAAAAATAAATAAATAGAAGAAAATATTTTTATTTATAAAATATTTATTTAGATTATTTGGAGCACTTCGACGATGTGTTGGTAATCAATGTACACAACGTGTAGGTTCAATGGAAAATGATGGATTTCCATTATTACTTATTGTTATACGTTCTCGTGGTTCATTAGAATTAATCAATATAATCGAAGGTAAAAGTACTCCAACTGAAGTTTTACTGAATCTTATTCAATCACATGAATCATTTGAACAACAACGATTACGTGATGTTGATGAAGAAGAAATGAGAGAAAAACGTGAAAATCTTAAACGACAACAAGAAGATGAATATGAACAATCACTTCAAGCAGATTTAGCTAAAGAACGAGCACGACAAGAAGAACAAGATGCTAATGAACGATTAATACAACAACGATTAGTAAGATTTATTTGTATTTTTGGAATATAATCTCTAAAAAGAATATTTCTAGCAACAACAACAAGAATCTAAAGCTCGTTTACCTGATGAACCAGATGAAACGGAAAAAAATATTACTCGATTAAAAATTCGTTTACCTGACGATGGTGGTGTACTTCTAAGACGTTTTCGTATTCATGATAATCTTCAAGTATGTTCTTTATGAGAATCATATAGTTGTTTATTTCTCATGTTTCATTTAGGTATTATTTGATTATCTTTCAAGTGAAGGACGTATGTTTGGTGAATACAAAATTTTAACTACTTATCCAAAACGAGATGTACAGATTATTTTCTTTGCATAATCTTTTATTTCATTGTTTTTTGTGTATTTAGTTAACAACATTGAATCCTACAGAAACATTTGAACAGTTAAAATTATATCCACAAGAACAACTTATTCTTGAATCTTTGTAATATATCCATCAATAACTTACCAAAAAAAAATAAACAAACATATCTACTCATCGTTTTTTTCTCTCGTCTCATTTGACAGTACAAAAGAATTGAAAACTAAGATAAACTTTTGTCTGTATATGTTTATTGCATTTTTTTCAACTGTTAATTTTTCCTCTTTTGTTTGTTTGTTTCTTTTCTTTTCTTTTTCGAAGTGATGACATTTTATTTCTGCATAGCAATGAAAAATGATGACTTTAATTCAACACATATTATTCCTACTATGCCTTATTAGTAAATTATATTACAATCTATAAGCAATACAGAATATTTCGAAAGATTCGAATGAAGAAATTATATTGATTTTAATAAACATCTTAAAGACATCAGATTATTAAACTATTACAAAGACTTGTGAGTTGTTTAATTTGAAAATGGAAGAAAACTAGATGATGGTGGTGTTATTGGATAACATTCATTCGTTATTATATTTGAGTTAGTATTAATACTACAAAATGGAGTGTTCATTATTCCAATAACTCGATTAATTACATCTTCAGCACATAAAGATGGTTCTTTACTTAATAAGTCTATAATAAGAATTTTAGCACAATTAAATACATCATGATACTAAAATAGAATTAAAAAGAAATTTAATTCAATGAATATTTTGATATACATCATCTGGATCTATAAGATCTTTTAATCGTTGTTGAATTTCTCTAACAAGAAAATTAATAATCTAAAGTATGAACTAATAAGATATTTTTAATTATATTAAATAAACAAAATAGTTTACTAGTTCATCAAAGTCACAAGTAGACAATTTTTTTCGATGTGTAATTCTAAATATATCTATCCTGTTTATAAATAAATATATATCTTAAAAAAAGATTTTTACTTTACTGTTTGTGTATCACATTGTGGACTGAAATTTTTCGGCTCATGTCGATGAATAGTTTGTCCTTCACGCCAATTCATAAATCGTTCTTGTCGTCTATGTGTTTTTTCTCTAAGAACATCAGGTATACAAGATGATACAGGTGGATGATAATAAAATGAACCATCTAATATAATTATTAAATCGAAGAAAAACCTAAATATTTATTAAATTTACAATCTTGATTAATTGTACGAAACGTATCAGAATATTCAATTTGTCCAAAACGTGTTAGTAATATTTCTTGACTTGGTCGCCAATCATCATTTTCAATATAATAGTTAGACGAATTACAGTTTGGCAAATGTGTTTGTTCGCACATGTTTGTTGATTTTTGAAATAAATTCTATTTATTTAACAGATTATCTGACAAGTTTTGTAATCCGGATAATTACGATAGAAAGTACTAAATGAAAAAAAGATGCAGATAGATGAAGATAAGGTTTTAGAGACAAGCGCCTAAATTTCAAATAATAAAGTAAACTCATATTTTAATACATGCGAAGCAAAGCATTTCTGTAGTCCTGCTTCTCGATATACACATTAAAATTTGTCATTTTGTGTTGCGATTATCAATCATTTACTCGCTGTGTTGAAAATACATTCGTCTTTTATAGGACACAATTATTTTTTAGAGTGTGGGTTTGGTGTGGGTGTACGTGTCTATATCATATCTATAACCCCTTCAACCGCACACCCACAGAGACAAATTAATTACAGCTACTCATGATCAAATATTTCATGGTTGTGACATTCATTTTCAATTTCATATAAACGATGAACTACGTATCTGGTTCTAATATTATTAGAAAGTTGCGAATCCCAATCCAAAATATGTATATTTGTTGTGAAGATTTGCATAAAGATGGTCTGGTTTGTTTTTTTTCTAACTAGAATTCAAATAAAATATTTAGAAAGGAACTATATTTGTCCAACGTTCTTTTCTATTTCTAAAGTGCCTTGAATTTATTGTTACTGTATCAATAAATTATAATAATAAAGAATAAAAACACAAAGCGGATGTTCGTGTATATATGTACATGTGTGTACACTTATTATTCTTCTTCTCCTCTTTTCTATCGCTACAAGTATAGAGCTTTCATCAAAAGATATAAACGAAAAAGAAAACATGTCAAGTAATTCAATAAATGATATTGAAATGGATCACTTTGGTTCAATGGTTGATTACTTGGCAACAACAAGTGTTGGTCCATGCATCGGCTTCGTTGTTTTATTAGATGATAATCAACATATATTTATAGAACATCGAAGCTCTGTATACCTTCTACCCTCGAGCAATTTGGAAACTATACGTTTATGTTCTCAAAATGTTGTTAAACATATCTCTGATGAATTAGCAACATCAAACATAACGTAAGTTTTTTAAATGTAGGATTTACGAAAATCGGAGTTTTTATCATGAAATTTCACGAATATGCTTATTCAAATTCTCTGCAAAAAATCGGAAGAAAATATTCTCTAACAAGAACCATAGTAGTCTCTTTCTCTCTCTCTGTCTTTTCAATGATATATATATACAAATATGTACGTACGTATGTATATATGAGTGAATTGCAAAAGTATTGTACCGTTTGAGAAAAATATCGATGAAAAAAAAATTTTCGATTTTAGGGGTTATGAGCCGTGCATCTTATTGTACTAGGTGAGAGTAGTATGTATAAAATTTCCCGACTACTTATCGCCATTTATTTTTTTGTTAATTCTATTTCTTTTAATTAATAGAATCAACGACGTATTTATGATGATGATTAATATATGATCGTGACTTCGATTGAACGATCAACGAAAAAGTTATAGATAAAAGTATTTTTTCGAAAATAGGCTTCGGTTATTGAATATAATTTAATCGAGGTTTATTTTTTCATTTATCTTT